GTAATTGCCACAGCAGGCGGTCCCTAAAATTTGATTTAATTCAACAAATATTCTTCACTTTTAGATCAGCAAGATCGTGAAGGACCTCAGCCATCCCAACAACAGACTGTTCTCTCTGTTGAGGTCAGGAAAGCGATTCTGCTCCCTGAAGACCAACACAGAGAGACTGAGGAGGAGCTTCTTCCCACAGGCTCTCTAAATGATCCGACATGTTAACTGCAGGGCTGCAGCTTCTGCACCATCTACGGCAGCACCAGCAACAAGAGAGAGGAAGAGACGGAGGAGTGTGAAACTAAGGGGTGGAGAGATGTATTTAGGAAGTGACAGATTCTGTAGCAGGATCTGTAGCTTTGAGTCATGATATGTTGCACTGCGGTGCAAGAACGAACCTAACAACAATCAACCTGAATTTTTACGGATTTTTTTTTTTTTTTTTTGCTATTATTTTTAACAGAGCGACCATGGGTCAGACGCTCGACACCTTATACGGCAAACGTTACCCAGTGTCAGGTGTTGCTCCGGTGTTCGTCACCGCGACAGATGTGTCTCGGCTGTATCCAGACAGAGCGACGATGGCCCCGGCTCACAGGTAACACTCTGCGTGGTTTACTGACTGATGTGTGGTCTGATTTCACTGCTAACGATTCATATGTTTGGACTTCTATTGTTGCAAATTGCGCGATGTGATCATTCAGTGTCACAGTCTGACATCGCAGTGATACTGAAACACGAAGCCGCGGATCAAAAAGTTTATATTAAGAAGAAACAGGAAACGTGTGCAAGTATCCGAAATTTGCGCAACACTGCCGCGAACACACTATTTTATCTTCAGGTGGATTTTCTTTTTCGAAGTGAAACCGTTAAGTGTTCATTCTGATCTGTTGTTGTTTGGCAGTGTGGCGCCACCAAGCGTGCCAACAAAACAGGAAAAGTGTTACGACCCTCATGACAAAACACTTAAATTTGTCGATGGAGAGGATGATTTGGACTGTAAGTATCACGTGGGCACTTTTCAAAGTGGCATCGAACAGATTCAACTCTTATATTAAAACAATGATAGTAATAAAATAAAATAGATTTTACCTGCATTCACATGAACCAAGGTCAAACAAAACGCATCGGCATTTATTCCTGTGATATTGATTTTTTTTTTGCTTGTGTGTGATTGTTCTCAGTTTTGTATGAAGGCTTCAAATCTCTCAGAGCTCAGATGTCCTGTGGTCACGCTGTGACCCCGACCTCTCTCACCAACTGGTGTCGCAGGTTGTTGGACCAGGTAGGCCACTGAAGGTTGGCTTTGTTAAAATAAACAAGCAGACATATATAAATAAATAACAAGGGTTGGCAGGGTTGCATTGATTTTTAACAGGACAATGTTACATGAACGTGAATAAATAAAGAAATTTGAAAACAGTGGCAATTATATCATCGTTATTTTTTGTAATGAATTGGATTGTGACTTTTACTGTCATGTAAAGAGAAAGAGAGAAAGAAGCTACGCTGACCTAAATCAACACACAGAGCAAATTGTAATTAACTGTCAATTAATTAAATTATCTCAGCAGAATCCTGCTGCGTGATCATGGAAATAAATAAAAAGGACAGAATTTTTCAGCTCCTGTCTTCTCTGTTTTAAGTTGTTGAATTTAAATCCTTTAAAGTTAAATTGCCTCTGCAATTAAACCTTTAATAGATCACACATTTCTTTTTCAACATGGTTGATTGTGCATGCTGGCTGACTGATCTGCCCTCTGCGAGGCTTCAGTGAAGCTTTGGATTACAGCTTTTCTGTTAGAGCTGTGATAATCATGTGTGTGTTTCATCAAATAATTACCACATATAGCAATACAGTTCTGATGTTTTATGAAACATTTTCACTATTTATGATTTTTAATCTAACTTACAGGGGAAAACAAACAACTCATCAAATTGTTTGGTGTTTTGTTTCCAACATGTGAGTCTATTAATTCTCACCTCTCCATATTTAATAAAGGGTGAAAGCAGGTTTGTGTGTGGTGGGTCTGGTTGTGGTGCTGAGTGGACTTTTGCAGAGGTTTGTAAAATGGCTCTTCTGGACCCTCAAGAAAGGGAGTACTTTCAAAAAACCATGGAATTCAATGCTGCCAGGCAGACAACTACTAAGTTGGTAAGTGTTTCATCAACATGTTATTATATACTGTGAATTTAGACTTGTAATAGACATTTTGCTATTTATATTAAATGTTGCCCCACCTCTGTCTCCATGTAGTGTCCTGGATGTGGATTCGCTGTGACGAGAGAGAATGGGTCAGATTTGAATGTCCTCTGTAAAGTGTGCACAGCAGTAAAAGGACGGCCGTTTGAATTCTGCTGGCAGTGTTTGAGGGAGTGGAAGGGTGCACGGCCTCGGAAGGACCGCTGTGGAAATCGTGGCTGCTGAAACAGTCACTAGAAACACTAAAAATGCCCAGATATCACATTCATCGGTATGTATGACGATGAGTATGAGTTTGGAATTCTTGTTTGTCCCTCAGTGCGTGCCTGTCCTACCTGTGGTTTGCTGTTGGAGCACAGCACGATGGCTTGCCCATCAGTTGATTGCCCTCGATGTAATGTGACATTTTGTTTTGTGTGTCTGAAAAACTCTGGCGAATGTTTGACCAGTTGCATTGCTGCCCCCAGACAGACCTCTATACCTGTGTGGAAGAAGAAATAATGGGAAAGAAACAAGGCTGATAAGTTTTTCTTTCATTTACTGAGAGTGCCTTTTCTAAATGAATTCACGTGTTTTAAATTCTCTGCTTTGAATAACATCACATAATAAATATAAATTGTTGTGTTTTATTACTGAGAAATTTACTACCAGATGTGATCTTTACAGTTGTGTCATGTCTGAAGTCTAATGATAAATCTGAAAAATGTTGTTCATTTATAAACTTAGAATAAGATTAAACATTCTGTGTGCACATTTTGTCCTCTGGTTAGTTACATATGTAACACAGGTTGTTGTCTCCTAATCACACATTTTGATTGTATTCCTAGCTACACATTGATAAATTGTTTAGAGAAAATGTTTCTTTTAGTAAAATTTAGTCATGTTTAATCTGTATCAATGTAAATAAAAACGTATCTCTTGGGAAGGAAAGCCAGCAAAACCAACTTCAATAAAATCCTGTGGATTTTTATTTATTCCTTAGGTCCTGCAAGTGAACACTGTCATGTAAAATGTGATCCTTCATTATAGATTATATAAAAATGGTCCAAATGAAATATTGACTTAACAGTTAAATTAATACAGTAACTGAGTTAAAATGCAGATATTGTCATTATTGTTAGGTTGCTTATACAGTATCAGTAGGAGAACGCTTCATCACTTTGTTCTGCTGAGTTGGGAAATGCAGGAAAATCAGTTTTCTTTATTCTTCATTTCATTCGCTGTGAAAACAATGGCTGCTGCAACCCGTCACTAGACACATTAGAAAAATGCCCAGATATGACATTAAATTCATATCATGGTGTCTGTGTGTGTCCCTCGGTCCGTGCCTGTCCCACTTGTGGGTTACTGTTGGAGCACAGCAAGAGACTTTGTAAATTTGTTGTTTGCCCTCGATGCAATTTGAGGTTTTGCTTTGTGTGTCTGAAGGAGCCTGTTGAATGTACAAAAACCAGGTGCATTCTTGCCCCCAGACAGACCTCTATACCTGTTTGGCACAAGAAATAATGGGAAAGAAACTTAAACACTGTGTGTAAGCGCATGCTGTCCTCTGGTTAGTTACATATATAACCTGTGCCATCTCCTTAACACACATTTTTGTTTGTATTCCTAAGTACGTGAGGACTGCTCTTGTTTCCTCTAAACTATTCCGAGCAAACTTCTCTTTTAATAAAACCTTGCTATTTTTAATAAAAGTTAATATAGAAATGTAAATAAAAACGCATCTCAGGGAAGAAAACACTGCAAAACCATATTAAATCCTGTGTATTTTTCTTTCTTTCTGCCATTTTATTCCTTAGGTCCTGTAAGTGTAACACTGTCATGTAAAATGTGATCCTTTATTGGTACATTATTTTTTTTAATGGTACACAGCTAAATTAATACAGTAACTGAGTTAAAATACAGATATTTTCATTATTGTTAGGTTACTCATACAGTCTCAGTAGGAGAAGGCTTCACCACTTCGTGGTGTTGGGTTGGGGAGTGCAGGTAAACCTGTTTTCATTCTTTGTTTTTCAATTTGTACCCCAAAAATCTGATAATAGACAACATAAACGTTTTTAACTCTTAATCTGAGTAAAGTTTAGCTGTTTGAAGGTTAACTTAAATTTCTAGTTTCACTGTAATTCCAGGGGATCAGTATGTTTTACTCTATTGAAATTATTTAAAAACATTTCACAGAAGATCTTCTATTTCCTCAAATCCAAGTTCTGATATGTGATATTCCAAACTGCATCCAGAGCAAAGGAACAGAAAGGTGTCTTGCCCTTTTCCCAGATACAAAGCTTTATCAGGCAAGGCAAAACGTCCATGCTTTCACAGCCACATTGCTCAACTCATTTAGTGTTTGTCCATGTCTGCTTCAACCTCTCCCTAAAATCGGTTGTGTTCCTCTTTGCACCAGGTTTTGCTAATCTTGATCTTTGGAAAATAGCCACTTAAATTTCTAGTTTCAGTGTGATTCAAGGGTATTTTTTACTCTGTTTAAATTATTTTGAAACATTGTTAACTTCTTCACATGTAAATCACAGCATTAATTGCACCGAGGTAAACATTTTAAAGAAGAACTTCTATTTCCCCAAATCCAGCTCATGATATATGCACACCTAAGAAAAGCAGGCCTGAGACTGTGAGATAAGGGTGAGCTCTCAGCCACTGCCTTCAGCATCTGATCGTGGTGCACAGGTAGTGTGCGGGCAGCTGCTGAGATGGTGCCTGCATTGCTATGGTTTCCGGCAGAACAAAAGTTGTAGAAAATACACATTAAGTTTTAAACATGGAACCCAAGATGATGTGTAAACCTAAAAGTAAAACAAGTAAACAATGCTCATCATAATGCCTCATAGCTGAGTATAGAAGTAAATCTTGTTGTACAACATAATTTCAAATACCGTCATTAAGTTGAACACTGGAAACCACCCAACAACTAAAAACTGCCCGCATCAGTGTTTGTTATTTAACCAGAACAATGTTTCATTTGGTTTATTTGTTTCTTTACATCCTGGTTGTTGAGCCAAATGGTTGCTGTGAGTGGATTCAAAAGTCCTGTTGTACAAACATTCAGATTAAATAATTTTAAGATCCAGTTTGATGCACATTCAGAACATTGCAGTGGCACAATATCACAATAATCCCCGAAACGCTTCAAATAAAATAATAAATCCAGATCATAACACTAAAAACACAGCACCACTGGTCAGATCAACTTTGACTACACCATGCAAGTTTACAAAAGATAAATGGATAAACCCCATTAATCATTACATAAATAAATAAAGCTGGACTCTCAGCAGCACTAACACTTTTATTACATAAAGTAAAATCATATAAGTGCTGATCTGCAGTCGTATGACTTCTTGTAACTGCTGGAGAGAAACTGAAAGTAGCAAAAACAAAATAAACAAAACGATCTTGGGGACGTTCCCTGGTGTGTGCAGATGTCAGTGTCTGTGTTTACTGCTCAAAACTGAGAAGGATAACAGGTGGGATCCAAATGAACAGAGTGCGGATAATTCTGGGAAAACTGAACCTTTACATTTGTCTAAAGATAATGTTGTTTCACTATGAAATCAATAAAAGTTTGATTTCTACAGTTTGTTGATTGCAGGGCAAGATCTTCTAAATTCATTTTTTCTTTCTCAGTGTTTGTGCAGGTAATGAACGGCCAAACGTGGCTTTACTGCAATGTGAGTCATGAACCGATTACACAGTTTGATCAGTTAAAGAATTTGCAGTATTTTTAAGATCCTTCCACTCATTTTCACTTCACTTCATGGACTGTGAGGTCTCAAAAGCTTCAATTTTCAAAACAAGCTTTTTCATATCATCATTGCTATCATTTTCTCATTTTCTCTTCAGACATGTAGAACAAGTAAAATGACTTATTGTTACATGGTATTGTCCGAAAGCTAGGGAGCATTACTGATAGGGTCATCTAGGGCACAACACCATCCCTGGGTGTTGAGACAATTCTGCTACAATGGCAAAAGCAAGACGCACCAGAGCTCTGTGTGTAATCTCGTGCAGGAGAGAGAGGACGAGACGAGCGCTGCTCCTGCTGCTTGAACCCTAGTCACTCTCATTTAGCACCCCCGGGGCACTGCTCTTTATTGTGGTACATGAACATGCATAGGTTCATTAACATATGACATCTTACACAAGCATACATGTGAACAAAGAGTACTTTTCTCTGTGTATGTGCAGGTACCCTGTGTCAAAATATGACCCTGCGAATGACTCCCCAAAGCTAGGGTTCCGGTGCTAGGAACACAGCGGACCACCTAAACAAAAGGCTCATATACTTAAACAGATACAGAGTAGGTGTCCTCGCATAGTATAAATCAGAAAGAGAAGGTACGACCTCTCTCATGACCTTAGGATGTGTGTGCATGCCAGACACTCTGGAGTCCTTGCAGACTACTAAGGATCAGACCTTCTATCAATATACAATCGATTATATACCTCTAAGCATATATGAGTATGTGTTTCTAAGCACAAATGACAATCCAACAATATAAACCTAAATTACATGCCCAGCATATCTTACAATTCGAATTATGTGCAACCAATCTTGCATCTTCTTTTGCTGACTATTAAAGACTAGTATGTGTGTAAATATAAAACACAGCATTTTTCGCCAAATTTGATGCATACATGTGAACAAGTTAGCAACACCTCATTTGATAATAATAATGGATTGGATTTATATAGCGCTTTTCAAGGCACCCAAAGCGCTTTACAATACCACTATTCATTCACTCTCACATTCATACACTGGTGGAGACAAGCTACAGTTGTAGCCACAGCTGCCCTGGGGCAGACTGACAGAAGCGAGGCTGCCATATCGCGCCATCGGCCCCTCTGGCCAACACCAGTAGGCAAGTAGGGTAAAGTGTCTTGCCCAAGGACACAACGACCAGGACAGAGAGCCCAGGGATCGAACCGGCGACCTTCCGGTTACAGATGCGATTCCCAACCCCCTGAGCCACGGTCGCCCCGAAAACTTGGCCTATTTTCTTCGCCGCTTATGACAGCTGGGATAGGCTCCAATAGATAAATTATCATATAAAATGTGATCCTTCATAATACTTTATCAAAAAATGCGGTCCAAATGTGCCAACGTTGATTTAGAAGTATTTACAGGAAAAGAAAATCTAGTACAAATTTTTCTCAAAATTGAAGTTGAAAACTGGAAGCCTTTATATTTAATTTTCTCTATGACTGTC